TATATCTTTATTATTTGTTGAGACAAAAAGTAAATTTTATTGATGATTTTTCTACAAATATATTATTGTTTTAATCAAACCGGAACAGTATGGGACCAATGGGTGATCTCTTGACAACTCAAAGAGAAAAGTGGTAAAAAGATACACAGAAAACAGAATTTAGCATAACCCTTTTTATCTTCTTAGAATGCAAATGAGCTTTCACATTAAAAAATCAAAATTGGATTAGGGTCAAGAAATCCATCCTATGGATGAGTGCATGCACATGGTTGTCAGTGTCTGTGTCTGTGTCTCTGTCGAAATATGAGAATATCAGTGATGGATTTTTTTTTATTAATACAAAATGACGTGCTTATTTAGATTTGACTTTTCTATGTTGTTCTTCATAGTGTAATAACCTAAATCATTTTTGAAATTTAAGATAAACTTGATTTTGTGTGTGTGTGTCTGTGTGTGTATAATGACTCACTGATAAAGACAGTTAAAGTTACCCTATAAAACTAGCTTAAACTAATTTAAACTGTTATTTTATGGATACTAATAATTTTAGACTCTCCCAATTCTGAGAAAAAGTATAATTTTTTGATTATTGGGTTGCTGAAGATATTAAACTGAGCATGAAAACATACACTCATTCATTGAATAACTCCTTATTTTTTTTTCTGAAATGTAAAAATTTTCCCCAATATTCCTTAAGTTTACAGACTCATAGACCTACCTGAAGCAAGCAGGGCTTTCTGTTCTGATGTGGTAGCTGAAAATAAGTGGGAGGCATTTTATTTTACCAGGCAGCATCTGGGACTTAAATCTCAGATGCTTCTACTCTCAGGCTTCAGGGTATGTCAACATGTATTAATTATATTTCCCGTTCTATATTCTCCCCAGTGAATAAAGTAACATCTTAGCAAAACTGAGCTGTATGTCTTCACTATTGGCAGCACATTGACCTGACAGGAAGAAAACTGGAATTTTTTTTTTTTTATGCTAGACTTCACATTTACAATAAATGGACATGCTCAATGTCCAGTCAAACTGAAATCCCATGAAATCCAAAAAAATACTCTGCACTTAGTCATCCAATCTCCTCTTTAATTTCATTATGTTTCTTCTGTCTTTTAAAACATTTCCCTTCTCAGCTTAATTACGAATATCACTGTTCTTCATTGGTACCATTTTCATTGAGCTATGATTTTCATAATCTATAAAACTGATCCTTTCAAAATGTGTACTTCTTTGCATTTTTTTATGTTCACAAGGTTGTGCAAACACCACTATTCCAATCCACAAAACTTTTCATTGCCCTAATAAATAACTCATATTTGTTAGCCATTCCTTTCCTTGGCAGCCAGTGGTCCACTCTGGGATTATACTTTATTGCCCATAGTAGAATTCAACTAAATGGCATTAAATATATGAGAGGGAATTTTGCTGGCTATTCCACTTAACACAAGGTTTTCAAAGTTCATCTACCTTTTAGTATTCACAGAATTTCCCTTTTTTATGCTGGAATAATTTTTCGTATTTTGAATTAACACATTTTGTTATCCATTCAGCAGTTAACCAATATTTGGATTTTTTCCACATTTGGTTATTATGAGTAATGATGATCGAGCATTCATGTCAATGGAAACTACAACGTAAATTTATTTAACACTATTGTTTTATTCCTTTGCCCAACATCATTCACTGTCCATTGATTTTTATCTTTCTCTAACATTGTTTATACAAATGCAACCTTTCATGAATTATGATTATTTTATTCATAATGAAATCTCTCTATTACATTTTAACTTAGAAATAAATCACGCGTCTTAAATTTCTTGAAACTGAGCACAAGGATTTTCAAAGGATAAACAGTAAAACCGATTTTAAAGATTATAATACAATATAAATAAAATGCACTATCAAGGTAAAATCAACGTCCTTAGTAAATTAATAATCCTGTACAATATAGATATACCTAATTCTTTCTAACATTTATGTGATTTATTATTACATTCAAGCAAGAAATAACATTCTGTCCAATTAAACAAGTTTGTTATAAGAGGTAAGTTTATACAATTTTACATACACAAAGACCTACTGAACTACAAAATGCTGATAATTATCATGAGGAGTTTGATTACAATCTTTTAAATCTATGAAAACAATTCTACTATTTTTCTAAGAATAAATATAGTGTGATACTATCATTAGTTGTTTAATAATTTGAGAATTGTTGGAAGTTTGAATTTATATCCTATGCAACCACTCCACAAGAGAGAACAATGGAGTTTTCCATACAACTTGAGCCTTGAGCTTCCACTCTGAACTCTGGCTTGACTGGGACACTATCAAGCTTCCGGAGATAGTCTCTTTCATCTCATCACAATTGAAATGCTCTCACTTTCTTTTTTATATGTGTATTGCTCAAGTATTCTACTTTCTCAGTGGCTTTCTAACTATGTGCATACAAAAAAAAAAATAGATTACACACAGCCTCATGAATCTGCCTAACTGTGTTTAAAATTTTGTAATGATTGAGTAATTTCAGAGTTCTAATTTGACCTATGTTGATTGATGATGCCATGGACAGATTTTATTTTCTTTGTGGTAACTTTACATTGTTGTTTGTGTATTTGAAATATAGGCTCTTCCCCACCATGTATTGATTGTATACATTCTTTACTTTCTGTCTTTTTTTTTTAAAGATGTATTTATTCATGCATACAAGAACCAGGGGACAGGCCAGATGTGGGGGAGGGTGAGAGGATTCACTAGAGACAGAGTGAAGAGCAGAACAGCAGACTGACAGAAAAATAGTGCTGAGGGGAGCAGTGGGTGAGACAGAAGCATCTGCCACGTCATGTGGGTATCTTCCCTGCTGGCTGGGATTGAACCAACTCTGCAGAGGCTGCGGACAATTTCACAATGCTGTTCTCAACCACCTGCGCCACCATGGAGGCCCAGTTGTAACATTTCCCTTAAAGACATAATGTCTATATTCCTTCCCTTTGACTGTTGCTGTCTTTTAACTGATTTAACCAATATAAATTAGAAGAAATTCTGTGTGTCACTTCTTTGCCTTTTAAAGACAATCTGAAAATCATGAGCTTCCATGGAAGAAGCCCAGTAGACATACAAGAATATTAACTAGCATTTTTATTTTATTATGTACATGACTGTTTCACATTTAGTGTCCCTGACACCATTCAGTGCTGAGATAAGAGACATGTGGGCTGAAGCCCACACAATAGGATTGTGAGCATTCCTGAGCTAAGAATGCTCACAAATTCCTACTGGACAAAGTAATTTACAAAATAATGCTGAAGTGATGGTGAACTATTTAAAGGGACTTTTAAGCAGAGCTGAGAAGGGAAAAGAATTTAGGAAATGTCCTTGGAAAGCTGATTGAGTAGCTGATCATCACTAATTACAGCAAAATGATGTACTTTGCCAAGGTTCTTACCATTGCGCTTTATAGCATAATCAAATGATTTATTGTTGTGGGGAAAATTGGGAAACTGGCCAGTGGCAAAGGGCTAAAAGAATTCAGTAGAGACAGAATGGAGATAAGTAAAGGTGTTTTATTTAAATACCTTGCAGAGCCATTAGGGCTAAGACAGGCGATATCTTCAGAGCAAAAAAGAAGATTTTTGAGGTTCTCTTCACTTTTTTGTGGGCTTTCTTATGTGGGACACCAGTTTTCATCAGTTAATGCTGGGATCTCTGGTCTTGAGTGTTGATTTTGACATAGAATGTGTCCTGGCAGTATATCTGCATTCCTTGGGCTGGGCTGTTTTTTTCTGTTCAAGGTGGCCAGTCTTAATGTCTGGTTCCCATGGCAACCTTATGGGTTCCCCTTATCTATCCAAGCCTCCCAAATTTTCCTTCTGGCAAGGAGTAGGAGCTTAGTTTTTATCCTTATTAATTTTTAAAATTTTATTCTTTTGTAGGTATTGAGATTCAAAATGTAAATAGCATTGGGTATGCTTATGGTATGTAATGCTGCTTTGATAAATGTATAATTTATAAAATAATGACCACCATAAAGTTAATAATAAAAATCATTTCATACAGTTACTATTTGTTATGTTGAGAACTCTTAAGATCCACTGTCAGCTAATTGGAAGTGTACAGTACATTATTGCTAATTGTAGTCTCCATGTATACGTTTGATCCCATGGTCATCTCATGGCAGAATGTTTGTAAGCTTTGACAAACATCACCCCACTTCTCCCATTTTATCCTCTGGTAAGACCTCTCTACTTTCTGCTTTCATGAGATCAACTTTTTTTGTTTCCACATGTAAATAAGATCCAAAGTATCTGTCTTTAACTGTTTGTCTTATTTCTTTTAGTATAATGACCTCAAAGTCCACGCTGACAATCTTTACTCTTTTCTTGTAAAGGGTGTGGATTTCTCCTTTGCCTCAAGCCTCTCTAACTCTCTAACTGTACCATTGTCTACCTTCCATCTTTTTGTCTTCCAACTTGCATCCTTTTTAGATCTGAAAATCAATATCTCCATCCAACAAAATCTCTCCTTATACTAGACTTAACTTTTTTTTTTTGGATAAAATATTTGGATATATACTTGTTGGTGATTTTGTGGCTTTACATGAATGAGTTGCTTACACAATTAATGCTGGCTAATTTCCTTTAGATTATAAAATCAATTAATAACAAAAACTAGAGATGCTCTTGAATGAAAAGAACTTAAAAGCACATAGTTCACCCAGTAAAAACAAAATAAATTTTGTGTGATAAGCTAATGTTTGAATGGAGAAAAGGAACAATAACCATTTATCTAATTTAGAAAGGTTAGCTCAGAGTGGCACAATTTATAAACACGTAATGTTATCAGATCTTTGGATACTGCAAAATGATTGCATTGGACTTTAAAACAAACACTCATTTGTCAAAATTACAACATTTCAGACAACTTTGTTTCCCTTACATCGTGCGATGTAACTTTAAAATCATAGCCGCAATATGCGTTTATGTGTGGATATTAAATTTTTACAAACATGTTTTAGTTTTCAGTTTTACCAGAGCATCTTTCACGTCCTTGTTTCGTAGACTGTAAATCAGGGGGTTCAGCATGGGGATCACAAGGGTGTAAAACAACGAGGCCATTTTGTCCTGGTCCAGGGAGTAGGCAGAACTCGGCCGGAAGTACATGAAGAGCATGGTGCCCTGGAAGATGGCCACGGCCGTCAGGTGGGAGGTGCAGGTGGAGAAAGCTTTGAACCTGCCCTCAGCAGAGCGGATTTTCAAGACCGATAGAAAAATATAACAATAAGAGACAAGAACTCCTGAAATCGTACTCAGTTCAATGAAGCCAAAAACGGTGAATAACGCTAACTCATTGACCTCTATACTAGAGCAGGAGATGACGTAAAGCGGGGGTAAATCACAGAAGAAGTGGTTAACCTCATTTGACCCACAGAAACATAAGCGGAAAGTTAAGATGGTATGTGTCAGAGAGTCTCCCAAGGCCACAGTATAAACCACAGCCAGGAGCAAGCAGCACACTTTGCTGGACATGTTGACTGTGTAGAGCAAGGGGTTGCTGATGGCCTGGTACCGATCAAAGGCCATGACTGCCAGCAGAACACACTCTGAATCTATAAAGAAACAGGAAACAAAGAATTGCAGAGCACAACCGAAGAATGGAATTGACTTGTTCGTGGAAATAAGGTTCACAAGTGTCTTTGGTGCAACAGCTGTGGAATAGCAGAGGTCGTAGAAAGAGAGCTGGCTAAGGAAAAAGTACATGGGTGTGTGCAGCTGTGAATCCATTCTAATTAGAAAGATCAAGCCAAGATTTGCCAGAACATTAATGAGATAAATGACTAGCAAGGTGATGAATAGGGTCATGTTTTTCTCAGGATTGTTAGTAAATCCCAAGAGAACAAATCCATTCAAGGAGCAGTTTTCTCTCTCCATTCTTCTTACACTCTAAATCTTTGAAATAATAATCAAGAAAACAACAGGTACATGCTTAACTCTTCTTGACATCCACAGATATCTGTAAGGCAAGATGAGATTTCTTGTAATTGTCTTTCCATAATGTGAAAATTTACCAGTCATATAGTCATTCTGGAAAGAAGCGTTGTTATCAACCTGATAGCAGTGTGCGAACCTGGGGCAGACAGTTGAAACTTTTCTCTCTATGTACATGTAATTGATGATATATGCAATTGTACATATGGTTTAAAATAATTTTCTCTTTAACTTCTTTATCTATGTCTGTGCTCATAAAGAATTGATTTCATTCTATGCTTTAAATAACATAAAAGAAACACTCATGATAGAAAGACCAGGTTTAAGGAATAGGACAAAACATTTCTATGCTTGGAAATATTCACCTGGACCAAAAATGTTAATTGCTATATTCATCAAAACCTGCTTGAATTAAAAGCTATGAATTAGTGATAAAGACAAGAAGCATACCATTGTCTATTAATAATGAAAAATTTTACATTATTGATTTTTTCCTAATATATCTTTATTATTTGTTGAGACAAAAAGTAAATTTTATTGATGATTTTTCTACAAATACATTATTGTTTTAGTCAGACCGGAACAGTCTGGGGCCAATGGGTGATGTCTTGACAACTCAAAGAAAAGTGGTAAAAAGATACACAGAAAACAGAATTTAACATAACCCTTTTTATCTTTTTAGAATGCAAATGAGCTTTCACATTAAAAAATCAAAATTGGATTAGGGTCAAGAAAACCATCCTATGGATGAGTGCATGCACATGGTTATCAGTGTCTGTGTCTCTGTCGAAATATGAGAATCAGTGATGGGTTTTCTTTTATTAATACAAAATGACCTGTGATCATTTAGATTTGACTTTTCCATGTTGCTCTTCATACTGTAGTAATTAAATCATTTTTGAAATTTAAGATAAACTTGATTGTGTGTGTGTGTGTCTGTGTGTGTGTAATGCCTCACTGATAACGACAGTTAAAGTTACCCTATAAAACTGGTTTAAACTAATTTAAACTGTCATTTTATGGATACTAATAATTTTAGACTCTCCCAATTCTGAGAAAAAGTATAAATTTTTGATTATTGGTTTGCTTAAGATATTAAACTGAGCATGAAAACATACACTCATTCATTGACTAATTCCTTATTTTTTTTTCTGAAATATAAAAATTTTCCCCAATATTCCTTAAGTTTACAGACTCATAGACCTACCTGAAGCAAGCAGGGCTTTCTGTTCTGTTGTGGTAGCTGAAAATAAGTGGGAGGCATTTTATTTTACCAGGCAGCATCTGGGACTTAAATCTCTGATGCTTCTACCCTCAGGCTTCAGGGTATGTCAACATGTATTAATTATATTTCCCGTTCTATATTCTCCCCGATGAATAAAGTAACATCTTAGCAAAACTGAGCTGTATGTCTTCACTATTGGCAGCACATTGACCTGACAGGGAGAAAACTAGAATTTTGTTTTTTTTATGCTAGACTTCACATTTACAATAAATGGACATGCTCAATGTCCAGTCAAACTGAAATCCCATGAAATCCAAAAAAATACTCTGCACTTAGTCATCCAATCTTCTCTTTAATTTCATTATGTTTCTTCTATCTTTTAAAACATTTCCTTTCCCAGCTTAATTACGAATATCACTGTTCTTCATTGGTACCATTTTCATTGAGCTATGATTTTCATAAACTATAAAACTGATCCTTTCAAAATGTGTACTTCTTTGCATTTTTTTATGTTCACAAGGTTGTGCAAACACCACTATTCCAATCCACAAAACTTTTCATTGCCCTAATAAATAACTCATATTTGTTAGCCATTCCTTTCCTTTCCTTGGCAGCCAGTGGTCCACATTGGGATTATACTTTATCTCCCATAGTAGAATTCACCTAAATGGCATTAAATATATGAGAGGGAATTTTGCTGGCTATTTCATTTGACACAAAGTTTTCAAAGTTCATCTACCATTTAGTATTCGCAGAGTTTCCCTTTTCTATGCTGGAATAATTTTCCATATTTTGAATTAACACATTTTATTATCCATTCAGCAGTTAACCAATATTTGGATTTTTTCCACATTTGGTTATTATGAGTAATGATGATCGAGCATTCATGTCAATGGAAACCACTAAGGTAATTTTATTTAACAACCATTGTTTTATTCCTTTGCCCAACATAATTCACTGTCCATTGATTTTATCTTTCTCTAACATTATTTATACAAATGCAACCTTTCATGAATTATGATTATTTTATTCATAATGAAATCTCTCTATTACATTTTAACTTAAAAATAAATCATGTGTCTTACATTTCTTGAAATTTTGCACAAGGATTTCTTTTTTTTTTTTTTTAAGATTTATTTTTTTTATTTATACAAGCAGTGGGTACAGTCAGAAGCGCGGGAGGGAGAGAGAATTCACCAGAGCCAGAGCGGGGAGCAGAGCAGGCAGAAGGACCAAGTACACTGCTGAGGGGAGCAGCAGGCACATCAGAAGAGGTCTGGGCGCCATGTGGGACCCTCGCCCGGTGGTCGGGGATTGAACCAATGCTGCAGAGGCTGCGACAGCCTCGCCGCCCAGCGCTCAAACGCTGCACCACCAGGAGAGGCCCTGCAGAAGGATTTTCAAAGGATAAACAGTAAAACAGTTTTTAAAGATTATAATACAATATAAATAAAATGCTTCTGCTTCTGCAGGAGGCCTTGATGCCCCAGCGAGATAAGACACTGCAAGGTAAAGGGCCTCACACCGTGGGGCTGAAGGTTCCTTGTGCCTCGCACCGTGGGGCTGAAGATCTAAAATTCCTTCATTTTTTGTTCTTGGTCATAAAAAGAGAAAAATTGATCAGAAAAGTACATTAGGCAATAAATTATATGTATCAGTAGACTGCAAGCAATTGGCATGGAAAATTACCTGTTTAGATATTAGTTATTAAACAATTTGGCCCACTTGACAATGGGAGATGATTTATTGTACATATCTGACAAGCAAACCAGCACAACTATTATACTAAGTCCTTCTTTTGCTTTTTTAGAAGTTCCTTCTATTTAGAAGTTTCTTAGGAAAGTTTTTAAATGAAGTTAATTCCACTCCTAGGTATTTACCCAAAGGACACAGAAACATCAATTCCAAAGAGCACCTGCACTCCTATGTTTATAGCAGCACTGTTTACAATAGCTAAGCTTTGGAAACAACCCAAATGCCCAAAAATAGATGACTGGATCAAGAAGATGTGGTACATATATACCATGGAATATTACTCAGCATTCAAAAAAGATAAACACATGCAATTTGCAGCAACATGGATGGCACTGGAAGGGATCATGCTCAGCGAAATAAGCCAAAAAGAAAAAGAAAAATACCGGATGGTCTCACTCATAGCAGGAATCTAGAAAACTTAAATAAGGGACCAGGAAAATGAATATAAGAAAGTGAAAATCAAAATCAACAAAAAACTATGAACCAGAGACACTTTTTGGGGGGCGGGAGGGGAAGGATTGGGGTCAGAATGGGGCGTTTGCAATTGTATGGGGGAATATAAAAATAAAATTTAATATTTAAAAAAAAAAAAAAAAGAAGTTTGTAGGTGGAAAAAATTCTGATAGCTGTGTAGCAGCTGGTCTCTGACTAAAGGCCATGTGAATAAAATAGTCTTTTGATGCTTAGGTTTTAGCTGATAGGGATGCACTGGCGGCTATCCACTGTCTTAGATAATTGTCTAGCTGAAAAAATAAGTTTTAGAGTTAGGTCTGGTTTTTTATCTATTAACCTTGAAGGCTACCGTCTAGCTGGGACCCGTAGGAGCCAGTAGTCCATGGGAATAAAATACACTAATTGTTTCTGCTTTACACATGTCAATGTATTTTTTTTTCTGCTTACTAAAAATGAATAAATAAAGACCTGCTGAGTCTCTCGGCAGAAGATACTAGCACCTCACCAAGTGTCAGTGTCTCCTCACTACCTCATCCCCTTCCCTTCAGCCTTTAAGTTTTAGCCCCTTACAGGTCGCCTAGGCCGTCTCATCCTTTCAGGAACCCCTGACACGACATTTTGCTGGAGGCTGGTCCCCGGCAACTATCAAGGTAAAGTCAATGTTCTTAGTAAAATAATAATCCTGCACAATATATATGTTCCTAACTCTTTCTAACATAGATGTGATTTATGATTATGTTCAAGCAAGAAATAACATTCTGTCCAATTAAACAAGTGTGTTGTAAGAGGTAAGTTGATACAATTTTACATACACAAAGACCTACTGAACTACAAAATGCTAATAATTATCATGAGGAGTTTGAATACAATCTTTTAAGTCTATGAAAAAAATTCTACTATTTTTCTAAGAATAAATATAGTGTGATACTATCATTAGTTGATTAATAATTTGAGAATTGTTGGAAGTTTGAATTTATATCCTGTGCAACCACTCCACAAGGGAGAACAATGGAGTTTTCCATACAACTTGAGCCTTGAGCTTCCACCCTGAACTCTGGTGTGACTGGGACACTATCAAGCTTCCAGAAATAGTCTCTTTCATTTCATCACAATTGAAATGCTCTCACTTTCTTTTCTATATGTGTACACGTATTCTACTTTCTCAGTGGCTTTCTAACTATGTGCATACAAAAAAAAAAATAGATTACACACAGCCTCATGAATCTGCTTAACTATGTTTAAAATTTTGTAATGATTGAGTAATTTCAGAGATCTAATTTGACCTATGTTGACTGATGATGCCTTGGACAGATTTTTTTTTTTTTGTGGTGACTTCACTTTACATTGTTGTTTGTGTTTTTGAAATATATGAACTCCCCCACCATGTATTGATTGTATACGTTCTTTACTTTCTTTCTTTATTTTTTTTAAAGATGTATTTATTCATGCATACAAGAACCAGGGAAGAGGCCAGAAGTGGGGGAGGGTGAGAGGATTTACCAGAGACAGAGTGAGGAGCAGAACAGCAGACTGACAGAAATACACTGCTAAGGGGAGCAGAGGGCGAGACAGATGCGTCTGCCTTGCCATGTGGGTATCTTCCCTGCTGGCTGGGATAGAACCCTCTCTGCAGAGGCTGCGGACAGTTTCACAATGCTGTGCTCAACCAACTTATGCCACCATGGAGGCCCAGTTGTAACATTTTCCTTAAAGACATAGTGTCTATATTCCTTCCCTTTGACTGTTGTTGTCTTTTAACTGATTTAACCAATACAAATTAGAAGAAATTCTGCATGTCACTTCTTTGCCTTTTAAAGACAATCTGAAAATCATGAGCTTCCATGGAAGAAGCCCAGTAGACATACAAGAATATTAACTAGTATTTTTTATTTTATTATGCACATGACTGTTTCACATTTAGTGTCCCTGACACCATTCAGTGCTGAGATAACAGACAGGTGGGCTGAAGCCCACACAATAGGATTGTGAGCATTCCTGAGCTAAAAATGCACACAAATTCCTACTGGACAAAGTAATTTACAAAATAATGCTGAAATGATTGTGAACTATTAAAAGGGACTTTTAAGCAGAGCTGAGAAGGGAAAAGAATTTAGGAAATATCCTTGGAAAGTTGATTGAGTAGCTGATCATCAGTAATTACAGCAAAATGATGTACTTTGCCAAGGTTCTTATCATTGCGCTTTAGAGCACAATCAAATGAGTTATTGTTGTGGGGAAAATTGGGACATTGGCCAGTGGCCAAGGGGTAAAAGAATCCAGTAGAGACAGAATGGAGAAAAGTAAAGGTGGATTTATTTAAATACCTTGCAAAGCCATTAGGACGAAGACAGGCAATATTTTCAGAGCAAAAAGAAGATTTTGAGGTTCTCTTCACTTTTTTTGTGGGCTTTCTTATAGGAGACACCAGTTTTCATCAGTTAGTGCTGGGCTATCTGGCCTTCAGTGTTGACTTTGACATAGAATGTGTCCTGGCAGTAGTATATCTGCATTTCTTGGGCTGGGCTGGTTTTTTCTGGTCAAGGTGGCCAGTCTTATGATCTCGTTCCCATGGCAACCTTTGGGTTCCCCTTATCTAGCCAAGCCTCCCAATTTTGCCTTCTGGGCAAGGAGTAGGAGCTTAGTATTTATCCTTCTTAATTTTTAAAATTTTATTATTTTGTAGGTATTGAGATTCAAAATGTAAATAGCATTGGGTCTGCTTATGGTATGTAATGCATGCTTTGATAAATGTATAATTTATAAAATAATGACCACCATAAAGTTAATAATAAAAATCATTTCACACAGTTACTATTTGTTATGTTGAGAACTCTGAAGATCTGCTGTCAGCTAATTGGAAGTGTACAGTACATTATTGCTAATTGTAGTCTCCATGTATATGTTTGATCCCATGGTCATCTCATGGCAGAATGTTTGTAAGCTTTGACAAACATCACCCCACTTCTGCCATTGCATCCTCTGGTAAGACCAGTCTACTTTCTGCTTTCATGAGTTCAACTTTTTTTGTTTCCACATGTAAATAAGATCCAAAGTATCGGGGGCCTCCCAGGTGGCGCAGCGGTTGAGCGCTGGGTTGCGAAGCTGCCCGAAGCTTCTGCGGCGCCGGTTCGATCCCCGGCTGCTCCCCGGCCACCAGAGGAGGGTCCCACATGGCGTGCAGACCTCTCCTGCCGCCCGCTGCTCCCCTCAGCAGTGCACTTCGGTCCTTCTGCCTGCTCTGCTCTCCGCTCTGGCTCTGGTGAATTCTCTCACCCTCCCGCGCTTCTGACTGTACCCAGTGCTTGTACAAACAAACAAATAAATAAATAAAATAAAACATGCCTCTATAAAAAAAAAAAAAAAAAAAAAAAGATCCAAAGTATCTGTATTTAACTGTTTGTCTTATTTCTTTTAGTATAATGACCTCAAGGTCCTCGCTGACAATCGTTACTCTTTTCTTGTAAAGGGTGTGGATTTCTCATTTGCCTCAAGCCTCTCTAACTCTCTAACTGTACCATTTTCTACATTCCATCTTTTGCATCCTTTTTAGATCTGAAAATCAATATCTCCATCCAACAAAATCTCTCTTTTATACTAGACTTAACTTTTTTTTTGGATAAAGTATTTGGATATATACTTCTTGGTGATTTTGAGATTTTGCATGAATGATTTGCTTACAAATTAATGCTGGCTATTTCCATTAGATTATAAAATCAATTAATAACAAAACTAGATATGCTCTTGAATAAAAATAACTTAAAAGCACACAGTTCACCCAGTAAAAGCACAATAAATTTTGAGTGATAAGTTAATGTTTGAATGGAGAAAATGGACAATAACCATCTATCTAATTTAGAAAAGTTAGCTCAGAGTGGCACAATTTATAAACACGCAATATTATCAGATCCTTGGATACTGCAAAATGATTGAATTGGACTTTAAAACAAACACTCCTTTGTCAAAATTACAACATTTCAGACAACTTTGTTTCCCTTACATCTTGCGATGTAACTTTATAATTACAGCCGCAATATGCGTTTATGTGTGGATAATTAAATTTTTACAAACATGTTTTAGTTTTCAGTTTTACCAGGGCGTCTTTCACGTCCTTGTTCCGTAGACTGTAAATCAGGGGGTTCAGCATGGGGATCACAAGGGTGTAAAACAACGAGGCCATTTTGTCCTGGTCCAGGGAGTAGGCAGAACTCGGTCGGAAGTACATGAAGAGTATGGTGCCCTGGAAGATGGCCACGGCCGTCATGTGGGAGGTGCAGGTGGAGAAAGCTTTGAACCTGCCCTCAGCAGAGCGGATTTTCAAGACCGATAGGAAAATATAACAATAAGAGACAAGAACTCCTGAAATCGTACTCAGTTCAATGAAGCCAAAAACGGTGAATAACGCTAACTCATTGACCTCTATACTAGAGCAGGAGATGACGTAAAGCGGGGGTAAATCACAGAAGAAGTGGTTAACCTCATTTGACCCACAGAAACATAAGCGGAAGGTTAACGTTGTGTGTGTCAGAGCATCTGCCACTCCCACTGTGTATACCCCAGCAACAAGCAGGTAACACACCCTGCTGGACATGTTGACTGTGTAGAGCAAGGGGTTGCTGATGGCCTGGTATCGATCAAAGGCCATGACTGCCAGCAGTAGACACTCAGCATCTGCAAAGATACAGAAAACAAAGAATTGCAGAGCACAGCCAAAAAACGGGATTGACTTGTTCTTGGCAAAGATGTCCACCAGCATCTTGGGTCCAACAGCTGTGGAATAGCAGAGGTCACAGAAAGCAAGGTGGCTGAGGAAAAAGTACATTGGTGTGTGCAGTTGGGCATCCATTCTAATTAGAAAGATCAAGCCAAGATTTGCCACAAGAGTAATGAGATAAATGACTAGAAATACGGTGAAAAGGGTCACTTTTTTTTCAGGATTATTAGTAATTCCCAAGAAAATGAATTCCATGTTGGTAGAGCAATTTTCTTTCTCCATTCTTCTTTGTTCTTGTCTAAATTTTTGAGAAAGTGATCAAGAAAAGATAATAAATACATGTTTAACTTTTGTGGACATTCACCAGAATAAAGCTTTAAGATGAACGCTATTTTCTTTTTCAGATGCCTTTTTTGTACTCAGAAAATAACTCAGTCATACCTTTTTCAAAGAGTCCATGCAAGCTATATTACAATAATATATATCTGGGACAGGGTGAATTAAGTTGAGGATCTTTCTTTTAAATCTAGAAGTCATTCATTAAAAACTGTGTTCTCCAGTTTTTTCCTATTATCTATTGCAAGTGTATACCTATATAAAAGGGTGGGTCTCATGACTCAAGAAAAATGCAAAAATAAGTGGAAATAGTAGACAACATATATACATTTGCATCACTTTTGGATTTTGAATAGACTTTTTTCTTAAATATGGAAATAGTATTTGGGACAATAAATGTTTTTGAGTATATAGGCTTCTCTTTCTGTGTAGGTATGTGTGTGTCACTATTTTGTAGGCATGTGTGTGTAGATGACATATTCTAGTTGGAATGTGGATGATCTATTTGCTTCTACAAGTTGCATGGCATATGGTTCAGATGAGATTACTTCCACATGTTGTTACTTGACATGTGATGCCTCAGTTACTCTTGAAATTAAACAA